CGTTAGGGGGTAATATTTTAAGTTAACAAAATCGGTTTTTCAGCGATGATTGCGTTAGGGTTTGGTAGGTAGGGCACAATGAATACTAAAAATCATCCTAAAAAGTGTTAATTATTTTGTTTTTGTTATTATTGATAATTGTCATGAATAGTTTGGCAGCCAGTGCGGCACCAGTCACATGCCGGTATTGATTTTTTTTCCTCGTTGAACCTATTACGAATGTTGAGGAGTAATATTAAATTACTTGTATTTCAATCACCCATATTGTCATATTCATGTAATTAAGTAATGTTTAATTGAGCCTGGCCAACGACTGGCAACCAACGCTGGGCCGGGATGGGCGCCCAGACCTGGCCCGATGTTATCATTCCAGGTTTCAACCAAATCCGGCGCGGTCCCGGTTGAGGAACGGGTCCCGAAGTTCGGCAGGCCGGCCACCGGGCTTGGGCCAAGCTCGGCCCATTCGTTTTTTCGTACGTGGGGAGAAACCCCAAAATTATCAAAATAAAAATACCAAAATCTCCTATTTTTCAACAACCGAAGACATTTCTCAATACTTTTACCCCATGTCAACGTCAGGACAACAATTACACCCAACCCCAATCTCATCTCTCAGTCCGACCTATCTCCCCAAGTATTTACGTGAATCGCGCTCGGGTTTATACCGAAGAAGTCAGGGTGGACAACTGGAAAGCGCGCCATTACTGGTCAACGAAAAGATAAAAGATAGGTTGTGCGCCACGCCGCGGTCCATATATGTAAAATACCTCAAGGGAACGCACGTACCGGGGGTACAGAGGTGGAGCACCACCACGGTGGAGGTGGGAGGATTGTGGTATAAGCATTTCTGTGTGTTACTCGGCTGGTCTCTTTGGCTCTCTCTATATCCCATATCCCCTCACTTTTCAGTTGATGGGGGCGCAGGGGGCGGCGGGGGGTGGGGGCTGGGGGGGCTTGAAACGAGCCAGAGCGCGTTTCAGTAGCTCTCGCGTATGTAACATACTATCTTGAATATGCGCATACATCCTGGCAGTGGCCTCGTATTCTCAGAATTGGGGGACAACGACGATCGGGTGTGCGCGGGAGCTGACCGCTCGCGTAATTACCTCCCAGTGGCCGTCTACACCCCTCGCCTCCTCCATCTCTTCTTCTTCTTTGTTCAAGGGGGAATTTTTCTTTATTTTCTGGGGATTTTTGCACTTGACGACTGGTTAACGAACTAGCTACATTATTTTTGCCGGAGTCGGCGGGATTAGGTTCGGACTAGGAGGGAGTCGAGAGAATAATGCGGAGTAGTTTAATTTGTTTATACTGATTTTTCTGATTTTTAGAAATTTTTGTTGTTGAATTTAAATTCAGGGTTCAATTCAGTAGCGAAGTTGTAAAACGGTTTGAATCAATTTTGATTATTGGCCAGTTTTCAATGAATATCTTGGAATTCAAGGGAGATAGCAAAATTTTCATAATTAACTTTTTTGTAGAGCCGATTCCGAGCTACAACAAATGTAATTACGATAATTTCGCTATCTCCCTTAGATTCGGAAATATTCGTCAAAAACTTAAGAGGTAGATCAGTCGA